TATGGGCCACAACCTTTTTCAGGGTCAAGTGGCCCTTTCACAAGGGTCACATATCAGATATCCTGCATATCAAATATTTTCCTTATAATTCATAAAAGTAGCAAAAAATCCAATTATGAAGTAGAAGTAGAATTAATTTTATGGATGAGTGCCACTACAACTTAATACAACTGTATTATCAGGTCTCAGTATTAGGAAAGTTGAGAACCACTGTACTAAAGAAACACAGCAATACGATGATTCCTAATTCTGCTACATCCATAGATCAGTATATTGTTTAACTATCATCCAAGAAGCTTTCTCATACAGAAGCTAAGAACTATTACAGAGACTCCCAACTGGACCATGTTCTGAGAGTGAGATTCCTTGAAGATTTGATGTCTTCATCAAATCCCTTTCTTCAGAGATTGGCAAACTATGTGGAAAAGAGGCATAATGATAGCAAGAGCCAATGTGAATGGAAGACACCAAAGAAACAAGGCCTTCCAAAGACAATAAAGGTGCTGTCAGTGGGGAATATCAGAGATTGAGGCAGCATGCACAAGGCCAACACTTGTCAAAGCCAGGTGAGGTTCCAGTACTGAGAGGGGAACCGGATGGAAGTCCCATCCCTGACCCAGAAGCTATTTCCAAGTGTTATCCACCTGCAAAGGAAAAAAACTATATTTTCCAATGGATTCTCACTGAGTATACAAGCCACATTTAGGGTAGGCTCAACACTCAGCAATAGACAGTAAAGACAAAATGAACTCAATAGTATTTCTTTAGCTGATTTTTTTCTCTCATAATGCTTTGTTTGTTTGTTTGTTTTCCTTTAATTGCGTTTTTTTGTTTATATATTCTGGCTTCTAATTTTGTAATCTTATAGGTTTTATACATGTATGTGTGTGCATGTCTCTGTGTACATTATTTCTGGAGTTTTTTCTTTTCTTTTTTCTCTGCTTTTTTTTTGTGTGTGTGTGTGTGTGTGTGTGTGTTTTGCTTTGTCTTTTTCCTATTTTTATATGGGTGTCTGTTTTCTTTTTGTTTATTGTTGTCTCATACAGCATGTCACTACCATAGCCTCCCCTCCTACTATTCCTCCAAGTTCCCCCAAACACACCTCCCATGACTCCAACGTCAATTCTTCTTTTGTTTGCTTTCAGGAAAGAGCAGGCTTCCCAGTGATACCAACAAAGCATAGCATAACTAGATACAATAAAACTTATTACAAACCCTCTTATCAAGAATATGTCCAGGTTGGAAAAGATATATAGAGAGAGTAGGCAGAGTCACAGAGATGCCATGTAGCTGCCACAGGAGACAGATGCACCAGAACCTTGCTGGTAAACCACAAGCCTTGTGGTAAAATACAAAATAATAGGAATGAGTTAATTTAAGATGTAAGAGCTAGCTAGGAATACGCTAGTCATTGACCAAGCAGTGTTGCAATTAAAAAAAAAAAAAAGAATGTACAAGGCAACATTGTAGAAGGAAAAGGGTCTTAAAAGCGGGTAAAAGTACCAAAGATATAAGATACTCCCATTCCCACTGTTAGAAGTTCCAACAAAACCCGAAGCTAACCAACCACAGCATGTATGTATGCATAGGACCGCTAGGGAACAAACACATTCCCATGCAGGTTCTGTGTTTGTCCCCTAATGTTTGGCTGTTTCTCTCTGTATTTGTTCCCATTAACTACCAGAGGAAGCCTCTCTCATGATGATTGGACTAGACACAGATATATGAATATAGAAGAATATCATTAGGAATCATTACACACACTTCGTTTTTTGTTTGTTTGTTTGATCAGTTGGTTGTTTGGTTGTCTGGCTGGCTGGTTGGTTGGTTGGTGGTTTAGTTAGTGGACTGGTTGACTGGTTGGTTTTTGTCAATTGTCTTTGGTTCTACTCCAAGTGTCTGAGACCTCTAGCTTCCCATTCCTGGTCATTCAGGCAGTATACGACATGGGCTTCCTCTTGTGGGTTGGGCCTCAAGTTAGACCAGTCATTAACTGATCACTCCAACAAGCTCTAGGTCACAGTTGCCACAGCACATCTTGCAGGCAGGACAGGTCTGGGTCCAAGATTTTATGACTAGATTGGTGTTTGTTTTCTAAAGATAAAGACAGAATGGAGTTTGCTGGGTAGGGATGTTGGGAGATTCTTAGAGGAGATGAGGGAAGAGAAACCACAGAGTAGATTATACAGAGAAAGTATTTTCAGTTAAGAAAGAAAGAAAGAAAGAAAGAAAAAGGAAGAAAGGAAGGCAGGAAGGAAAGAAGGGAGAAAGAAAGAAAGAAAGAAAGAAAGAAAGAAAGAAAGAAAGAAAGAAGAAAGAAAGAGAAAAAAGAGACAGATGACTGAGACTGAGACACAAGAGCATCTTTTTCTTCTCATCATACATTTTTGATATCCCTTATGTTTCTTCTTAGGCCATCTTTCTTCTCACAGCCCACATTCCCCTGACAACGATTATCCATTTGCCTGCATTTCAAATGCCCATTGTAATCTGGTTATGCTTAAAATTCTGGCTCCAGCTACTCTGCTCCTAGATCTAGATACACAAATTCTGATTTTACTATGCTCGGTACTGGAAGATGTCACAGGTATGTCTAACTCAACATGTCCCAAATGCATGCACAGATCAAATCCTTTCCTCTGTCTTTCTTAGTAACTAGCCCTGCTGGTCTAGCTAGTTTCAAGTCAACTTGACATAAACTAGAGTCATCTGAGAGGAAGAAATATCAATTGAGGAAATATTTCCCTAAGATTGGCCTGAAGGCAAGCAGGTAAGGCATTTTCTTAGTGATTGATGAAGTAGAACCCAGCCAATTGGGGATGATTCCATGACTGGGCTGGTGGTCTCAGGGGCTATAAGAAAGCTGGCTGAGCAATCCATGAGGAACAAGCCAGTAAGCAGCCTTCTCCATAGTCTCTGCATCTGCTCCTGACTCCAGGTTCCTGCTCTGACTTCTCTCTGTGATGGACGTTTACTGCAAGTGTAAAAATAAGCCCTTTCCTCACCAGCATAGTTTTAGTCATGGTGTTTCATCACAGGAATAGAAGTCCTAACTAAGACAATCACCGTGCTCCAGTTGCCTATGCCAGGAACCTGAAAACTGCAAACTCTCCTCCTCCCTCTCTTGCATTTGTCTCTCTGCATCCCTGCTCATGCTTGATAAGTACACACTGGCCTCATCAGCTGCATTCCTTCTCACTGCCACAACCCTCAGTCCATATCCTCTGCACTTCTCAGGCCTTCTGTTCAGGATAGTGCTTTTGAAATAACAGTCTCAAATGTTTGAAAATATTTAAGGAAACGTTCTGTGTCATGGAGTGTACAATTATGTCATCTGCTATACCTCTAATTTCAGATTCATTTCTTGTTTGTCCTCAGTCAAGGGGTCCTGGACTCCAACTCCGTTGACATCTTGTTCTCAGTGTCCCTTGAGTCTTCAGTTTCCTCTGTTTGAACTAGTCTCCCCCTTGGTTTACTATTCACCCTGCTTTCTGGATATCACTTCCTCAAAGACCCCTCCCCGATCTTTCTTCCAGGACAGAACAAAGCTCTTCCTCAGTCTCCAGTACCACTGTTCCCTTCATAAGACAGCATTTGACAGAGAGCATTTTATCGCCCTTTTCATTTCATTTGGGATTGACACAGCGCCATTCTCATGACTGCCTGCCTCAGAACTGGCTCCCATAATTGGCTTTAAAATGTGTCTGATGTATCAATACACTTAATACATGTTTCTGCCTGAACAGTGTGTCAGGTTCAGAACACCCAATTTTCTTTTCCAAGAATTTCAGAAAAAAAAAGATGAATGCTATCTTGCCTTTGCTGTTTCTTTCAACCGTGTTCCTTACATCCTTACATGGGCAGACGTTATAATGAGTTTTAAGACAGTGAAGCTTTAGCTCGATTCTATCATGGGATACTTGCAAGAAATATTACCATATAGATGTGGGTGAAATTGTTAGTATGTGTTTGGATTGGTTGCACTCTGTTTTACAATTGTATTTTTACTGAAATAGAGATCAAAAACAGCCTTGAAAAAAAATGGTTTCACTGCATATGGATGAACCACAGCACTCATCTATACTGCTGGCCAGAGTCTATCACTCCTGCACAGAGTTTGGACACACCTCACATATTTATGTCTACATTTGAAGAAAGTGTGTGTGTGTGTGTGTGTGTGTGTGTGTGTGTCTGTGTGTCTGTGTATGTGTGTGTGTCTGTGTTCCATAGCACTTAGAAATATATTATCATGGTATTTTAAATCATATTTATACCTTATTTGTTTATACCTTGTTAAATTAAATTTATTGCTTTGAAACAACCAAAGAACTATTTTATTGTCCAATAAGTAATCAGGTCACACGATTCTTCAAAATTTTGCAATAATAATACACATCGTAAGGTGAACACACCTCAACATGTACTGTGCCATAAAGCACTGTTTAGCTTGAGGGTAAATTTCCTTCTGGTAATATCATGATTGCATGTATTCTTGTCAAAATCCTGCATCCAAATGACTTTTGCTGGTTTCACTAGTGACTTCTGCTGATACTAAAAAGGAAAGATTTTAAAATAATTTGAAGATGTCAAGAAAGACACAAGTAAGTTCCCACTTGCCTAAATGACAAGTGGAATTATGATTATATTCAGCTTTTCTAATCTCGTTATCATAACTTCACAACAAAGAAGTGATCAAGCAAAATAGCCCTGAGGAAACTGAAAATAGCATTCAGATACGGAAAGTATTGGAAGTATTACTAGCCTAAAAAACAGCACTGAATTTTCTAATTGGTTATTCACAGCCAACAACGGACAGCCTTGAGAGAAAAACATTTTTGAATGTATGGTGCTAGAAAACTGCTAAGCACTGAATAAGCATGGATGGCAGAGAGTGGCCTTCAAGAGATGCTTCTCTTAGAACGAGACCTCCATAACCATAGCTCACCATGATAGAAACTAAGCACAAATTACATTCAAGCACATGACATAGTCAAGACCTATAATAGCAGCACGGTGTGACTTTATTGGTGACTTTTAGTGCAGATAACATTCTAATTCAGGAAGAAATTCTTCCACTCATACATTAGGAGCAAGAAATTGTCATTAGACAAACGTTGTGTGCCAGGGGAATTTTAGTTTATTTATGTTATACAGAACTCTAATTTATGAGTAGAGTATAAAAGACGATGCTAAAATGGCTTTTAGTGTTCAGTCAGACCCATATATTATCATGAGCAGTTCATTCTCCGAGTCCAGTAGAGTTTGCTTGATGAGTATGGTCAGAAACGGACACAAAATTGCTTTTCTATCTGACTATTCTTTTCAAAATATTATCAGATATATATGTATAAATAAGGTACTGTAACACAGAGTGCAGCTTCTGCTTTAACCTCAGATCATATTCAGGAATCTTGTTGTTGCCTTTTTTTTTTTTTGATACAATGTTCACTTATTCACCTAGCAAGGTTTGCCCTGCCAAGTGTTCTTTTGGTCATGCAAGGTTAGTCACTCCACCTTTGCTCTTGCATACATCTCAAGTACTTCCTGGATTAATCTTTTACATCTTCATTTTGCCTTGCTTTGTTTTGTTTCTTTTCTCTAATAGATTTTCAGGTAAGGTAGGCTGATATCTGTATGCATAACCATATGGTCGGAGATGATAAACTAGGTATTCCAACTCATATATGGCTATAGCATTTGCATAGTGAAAAGAAACTGCAAAATCAGAACAGCAGTTGGGTCCATATATGGGAGGGTAGTAATTATATTTGTAGTACCAGAAGGATTTGGAGTGCAAACCTGGAATTAAGTGATTTTCTGGCAGAAAGGGATGGAAAGTTTCTTTCCCAGTGGGGTCTCTGGAATCGCCTGGCTTCACGTTGACTGTTTGTAAGCACTGTCCCAGGATGATGTCCTCAAAGGCGGTAAAAGGTTCACATCCATTCCTCTTTATCACACGCACCACTCTCCTCAAGGCTTCCTTGCTCAGCACATAGCCTGCCCCACCACTCATGTAGCCCTCATCTACATAGGGCTTAAATCTTCTCCCAAAATACACGGGTTGCTCTGGGTCCTGATTTGCCAGAAGCCATCTCAGGTTGTCTACAATCACATATGTGTCGTCATCTGCTTTCATGAACCAATCTGCATCTTCTAGGTGGTGGTCATGAACATACAAAAAGGCCTTTAATGTTTTCTGGGACAAATGATTTCTGCCCTCTTCAGTTTCTAATCCCACGGCAGGGAAGTCTGCATTGTCTTCTGAGCTCATAAACAGGGCTTTGTTACAACGCTGGGCCCATGTGGCTCTAATGTGTTTGGCTCTTACCTGCAGATTTTGTGGTCCTGTCATTATCCAGCAAAGAATCTTCACCTTCTGGTAGAGTTTTGCAGCCACTTCTGTGTTCTCATACTTATTGCCAGTGAGCATTTTCGATATCACCAACCCTTTCCGACCATTCTCTCCGGTACCGTCCAAATGATTCTCAATGGAATAATTATTAGCCATAGGGTCAATGCCACTCTGTTCTTCTAACAAAACAGTAAATAACTGAGCACAAAAATGATATCCGACGACTGATCCACAAAGGAAAGCTAACCGACGCATCCAAAAGTTAGAGGACATTTAGTAGGCTAGTTCTGCCAGCTGAGACAGGTGTCTGTTTGCTGGTCCTGGGGGTCACCTATGTGAGGACTGCCGCAGTTCTCTAGACTGTCCTCCTCTAAGCCAACTGCGTGCAGAAGAGGGCAGTTATACAGGTATGTGCTGACCAGCGGGTGTGTAGGTGGGGAGCTGGTGGCAGATAGTGCCTGAAGCTAAAGAGCTGAGGATGAAGTCTGACTTCCCAGATCCTTTCTCAAGCCCTGCCACCATCCAGGGTTCTAATGGTCGATTGTTGTGTCCATCTGTGGCGTTCTGTGTCCCTTCATGTGAGCCCGTACTTTATTTCCATTGCGTTTGCTGCCCAGGAGCAACTGCGAGAAGTGTGAAGAACATCACCTGTTGAATCAGAGCTGTTGTTGACAGTTTTGTGGGTTATTAAAGTGGAGAATAGCTTGAGAAATTGAAGTTTTCAAAGAAACCAACTCTTAAAAAAAGATGTCTTGTGCCTGGAGAGAGGGCTCAATGGCTAAGAGTATCGATTTCTCTTCCAGAAGACCTGGGTTTGATTCCCAGCATACTTATGGTGGCTCACAGCCAGACATAAATCCAGGCCCAGGGGTTTCATACATCCTGGGATTTCATAAGTTCTTCTGGCTTCCGTGGGCAGCAGGCACTATGTGATACACAGATAACACACAGGCAAAACACCTGTAAACATAAAAATATAAAAGATGGGAGTATGCTAAAAATTAATATTACAATGGAGTTTCATAAACATTGAAAATCTGTAAACTAACTTTCTCTTTCAGTTTTATATTCAGTATAAAAGCTGTTAAAGGCTTAAAATGAAGACATTACTATGTGGAAACAGATTATCTGGTAATTTCTTTTTTTCTTATGATCAGTTGTATTAGTCTTTGAAAATTATTTCTAAGCCTTAAGCTGTTTAAATGTCTGAGTCAAGTTGATTATGGGGTAACGAAGAAATAGTGCATGCTATCTAGGTATTTTCTTAGAAGTAGTTATTGTCACTTAGACCCATGCTGGGTATTAACGTCTTGCACTAAGTAGACAAAGCCAAAGGTTTGTTTTTCAAAGGCAGTGCAGGTAAAGAGATCCGTTCCATACACAAATATAGATGTAAATACAAGCCAATGTGAAAAGAATTAGCTATGCAAACAAGCAAACCTGCTAGTACTTCTGTCTGAAAAGAAAAGAAAACCTCATTTTTAGGTTAGCAGACTAAGTATTGGGTTTCATCATATGTTGTTATGGTCTCATTAGTTCATGGACCCCAATGCCTTCATTGCCCTCTCTTCCTCCTCCTGCTCATTCTCTTTCTTCCCCCAGTTAATATCTCTTCCGCTTCATAATTACTCTGAAGACATTTTCCTTACTTCTCAAGACTCCCTTTCTAGTTTTCTTACCTTCCAATACCTGCATACAAATGCATGCATATAAAAACACACATAGAATTTTAGACCTCGGTGCTACATGTAATGGAGATTGTGGTATTTGTCTTTCTGAGTCTGATTTAGATTGCTTACATAGGGTTTTCTAGTTGCATCCATTTCCCTGTAAATGCCACGATATGATTTTTCTTTATGGCTACATAAAATTTCACTGTGCGTTGGAAATACATTTTCTTTATGCATTCAATTGTTGATAGACATCTAGGCTGGTTCCATTTGCTGGGTCTTGTGAGTAGCACAGCTGTATACATGGACGAGCCAGCATTTCTGTGGTATCTAAGTACCTAAGAGTGGTAAGCTGGATCATAAGGTAACTCTGTTCATATTCTCACAGCGGTGCAGTTTGTCATCCTACAGACAGTGAATACAGGTTCCCCCTTCCCTACAACTTCACCAGTATTTCTCTCACTTGCTCCTTACTTGTTACTTTGATGATAGCCATTATGACTGCAGTCATATGGAATATCAAAGCAGTTTAATTTGAATTCCCTGTTGCACAAGAAATCTTAACCACTGGCTCCATTGCCAGCCTGTTAGGTGGTATAAGTGATGCAGAACAAACTCCTTGAAATTGAAATCAGTTTCTAAAACATTATTATTAACTCTGTCATACAATATATCCTAACCAATCTACCCTTCCTTAATTCCTCCCAGTTCTTCCCACTATGTTCCCTTTTCCCCAGATCCACTCCTCCTCCATTTTTCTTTAGAAAAGATCAGTCTTTCCAGGGAAATCAACCAAACACAGCATAAAAAATTACAATAAGATTAGTCACAAACCTTCGTACCAAAGCTAGATGAGACAACCCAAAAGGAGGAAAAGGGTCCCCAGAACAGACAGAGGAGTCAGAGACACCCCCACTCCCACTGTTAGGAGTCCTACAAAAACACCAAACTAACAGCCATAGCATATGCAGAGAACCTAACTCAGAGCCATAATCTCCCCTTAATTGTTGCTTCAGTCTCTGTGAGTCTCTATGAGTCCTGATTAGTTGATCCTGTGGGCCCCATCTTCTTCTGATGTCCTTGGCTTTTCTGGCTACTAAAATCCTTCCTCCACCTTTTCCATAGGGTGAGCTTTTCCCTGAACTCTGTCTATTTTTTGACTGTGGGCCTCTGTATCTGCTACCATCAGTTGCTGGATAAAGTCTCTCTGATGAAGATTTGACTATGATCAGATCTATTGGTTCCCAAACAAGCAGGCAGTGTTAAGCACAGGTTCCAACTTCTGATAGGTCTCAGGTTCAACCAGTCCTTGGTTGGCTACTCCCATAAATTCTGTGCCACCATTAATTATCCCAGCACATTTTGCAGAAGGGGCAAATTTTAGATACAAGGTTCTGTTGCTGGGTTGATGTCCCAGTCTCACTATTGGAAGCTTTGCCTGATTACAGAAAATATCCTGTTCAGGCTCTGCATTCTCCATTACTAAAAGTCTTCCCCCATTTCCACTCCCACCAGCAGTAGAGGAGTGTTACCCTTGCTCCACACATCCTTGTCAGCATGAGCTGTCATTTGCATTTTGACCTGAAAGGGTATGATGGACTCTCAAAGTAGTTTTGATTTGCATGTCCCTGGTGGCTAAAGATATTAAACATTTCTTTAGGTGTTTCTCATCCATTTCAGATCCCCCTGTTGAGAGTTCTTTGTTTATATCTGTATCCCATTTTTTAAATTGTGCTATTTGGTTTGTTGCTGTCTAATCTATTGAGTTCTTTATATTTTAGTGTTGTGTGATATTTTAATTGTGTTTTGGCAAATAAAGTTTGCTTGGAGTCAGAGAGAAGAGCTAACCACTAGCTGACCAAAACAAACCATAGAGATTTGGAGGATTGAAGACAGAAAGTATTAAGGTGGGGTTGAGTGAGAATCTCGGCTCTTTGGGGAGGAAGGAATGGAAGAGATAGGAAGTCACTGATGCTGCTCCCTTGCTTCTCTGATTTTCAGTTTATTACCCTGATATCTTACTCCAAATTTTTTATTGATAGCAAATGCTTCATTTTGAAGATTAGCCCTTCTTGAGTTCTTTCAATTTTTTGGATATTAGTCTTCTGCCAGATGTAGAGTTGGTAAAAATCTTTTTCCATTATGTATGCTGCCATTTTGCCCTATTGATGGGATCCCTTGCCTTATAAAAGCTCTTCAGTTTATGAATTTCTTAATAGTTGATCCTAGTGCCTGCATTGTCAATGTCCTGTACAGGATGCTGTCTGCTGTGGAATGTGTTCAAAGATACTCCTCATTCTCTCTTCTATCAGATTCTCTGTATCTGGTTTCATGTTGAGGTCTTTGATTCACTTGGACTTGAGTTTTGTGCATAGTAATAGATATGCACTCTTCTACATGCAGACATCCAATTAGACCAGCACAATTTGTTGAAGATGGTTTCTATTTTCCAGTGTGTGTTTCTGACTCCTTTATCAAAACTCAGATGTCCATAGGTCTGGGGATTTATGTCTGGGTCTTCGATTCAATTCTAATAGTAAACCTGTCTGTTTTTAGGCCAATGCAATTTTTATTACGATAGGTTTGTAGTACAGTTTGAAACTGGTGATGGTGAGACCTCTGAAAGTTCTTTTATTGTACAGAATAGTAGGAGCTAATGCTGGGTTTTTGTTTGTTTGGTTGGTTGGCTTTCAATAGATAGTTGAGTATTGTCTTTCAAGTTCTGAAAGAATTATGTTAAAATTTAGATGGAGATTGTGTTGAATCTGTACCTACTCCCTTCTCTCTCCACATCTCCTCTTCCCCACAAACCACTCCCACCCCCAAGCTCCCAACTTTTGCCAGGTAATCTTGTCTACTTTCAATATCCAGGAGGATAAATATATATTTTTCTTTGGGTTCACCTTCTTATTTAGCTTCTCTAGGATCACAAATTATAGGCTCAATGTCCTTTGTTTATGGCTAGAATCCACATATGAGTGAGTACATACCATATTTGCCTTTTTGGATCTGAGATATCTCACTCAGTAAAGTGTTTTCTATTTCTATCTATTCGTGTGCAAAATTAAAGATGTCATTGTTTTTTTCAGCTGTATATTTGTATATATATAAATATATATGTATATGTATGTATGTATGTATATATGTATGTATATATATATAGTGTATATGTTCCACACCTTCTTTATGCATTCTTCTATTGAGGGGCACCTAGGTTGTTTCCAAGTTCTGGCTATTACAAATAGTGTTGCCATGAACATAGTTGAACAAATGCTTTTGTGGTATGATGGGCATCTCTTGGGTATATTCCCAAGAGTGGAATTGTGGGATCCTGATGTAGGTTGACTCCCAGTTTCCTGAGACACCGCCACACTGATTTCTAAAGTGGTTGCACAAGTTTGCATTCCCACCAACAATGGATGAGTGTTCCCCTTACTCCACAACCTCTCCAGCATAGGCTATCATTGGTGTTTTTGATTTTAGTCATTCTGACAGGTGTAGGATGGTATCTCAAGGTTGTTTTGATTTGCATTTCCCTGATCACTAACGAGGTTGAGCATGACCTTAAGTGTCTTTTGACCATTTGAACTTCTATTGAGAATTCTCTGTTCAGTTCAG